GCCAGGCTGGTCTCAAACTCCTGACCTCAGGTGATCCCCCTGCCTTGGCCTCCCAAAGTAGTGGGATTACAGGTGTGAGCTACTGCATCCGGCCTATAGCGTTTTGTTTTGTTTTGTAGAGACAACGCTTGCTATGTCGCCCAGGCTAGTCTAGAACTCGTGGCCTGATGAGATCCTCCTGCCTTGGCCTCCCAAAGCCCTGGGATTACAGACATGAACCACTGTGCCTGGACAATCATAGCTTTATTTTAGTTTAGTTTAGTTTAGTTTAGTTTAGTTTCTTTTAGTTTCTTTTAGTTTAGTTTATTTTAGTTTATCTTAGTTTAGTTTAGTTTAGTTCAGTTTAGTTTAGTTTAAGACAGAGTCTCACTCTGTCACCCAGGCTGGAGTGCAGTGGTTCAATCTCAGCTCACTGTAACCTCTGCCTCCCGGGTTCAAGCTATTCTCATGCCTCAGCCTCCCGAGTAGCTGGGATTACAGTGCCCACCACCACACCCAGTTGATTTTTTGTATTGTTTTGTAGAGACCGGGTTTCACCATGTTGGCCAGGCTGGTCTCGAACTTATGGCCTGAAGTGTGTGGGTCTCAGGTGTGGGCCACCACGTCTGGTTTATTAGCTATTGATGATGATGATGATGATGATGATGATGATAACGATGACAACGACAATGACCCCGGCCTGCAAAACCAAGGCTGGCTCGCTGAAGACTTTACGAGCACCGGCCACTAAGGGGCGCAGCCGGCTTGGGCTGCGCTGACGCGCGGCGGCCATCGGGGGGCGCTGCGTTGCTTGTCTGGAGAGCGCGGTGACCGCCTGGACTACCTCCCTCTGAACATTCCAGAGGAGAACGCGTCGTCCCGGCCAGTGCCAGAAGCCCCAGCGCCAGGGCTAGGGGTTAGTGCAGGGGATGCAGGCAGGATAACACTTAGATCCATGGGGCACACCCTCCAGGCCCGGCGGCGGGTGAGATCTCAGAGGAAAGATCCCACTCCCGGGATGCTGAAATTCGATTGCAGTTTTCCAGCACTGTTGGCCAGCCCTGTCGCAATTCCTGGGACATTTATGCAGCAAGGTGGTTGTGGAGGCGGGGGTGGGAATGGGATACCCACAGACGATTCCGAGGGAGGATGAGAATACTTGGAAATTGCCTGCAACCTTTGTTCGTGTGAGTTTTCCTTCTGTGAATGAGCTTTCCACAGATTCTCAAAGGGGTCTAGACCCCCAAACAGAGACTGTTCAGAGCTCTGTCTCTTTCTCCAGAAAGCCTTCCCTGATCATCTCTCAGACTGGATCAAGTGTCTCCTCTGGGCACCCATGCCCTCTGATCTTCCCCCACCCCAGCCTGACCCCTGCCTGTGCCTCCCCTGTACAGCACAGGCTGTCACGTGTGGTGATGTGTCAGTGTCCCCATGAAGACAGGGGCCTGGGATTTCTCAGGCCCCAAGAAGGCCACCATTGTTGTCCAACACAGGCCTTACATACCAAAGGGAAAACATCTAACAGATATTTGCTTTCTTACTTCTAGGCCTTTGGAAGTGCTGTTCCCTCCACCTGGAACATGGTTCTCCACCCCTTTCTCTTTCTTTCTTTCTTTCTCCTTCCTTCCTTCCTTCCTTCCTTCCTTCCTTCCTTCCTTCCTTCCTTCCTTCCTTCCCTCCCTCCCTCCCTCCCTCCCTCC